TGCTTCCCGTGCGTCAGGTAGCTTCGTTGGACATGGTCCCTGAACGCGCGCCATGTCCCCCTGCCTCGTTGAGTGGTTGTAGTGAAAAACAGTGGCATTGAACCCTTTGGTACAGGGGGTGACACACACACACACGCACACCTGGTTCTTCTGCTCGTTACCGAACTTGATCCCTTGGCGGGTTCGAACCTGTTTGACAGGTCACTTTCAGGGACTCCAAAAAGGTCACGAACTGAAGAAGCTGGCTCTTTTTTGCTCGTGGCTCATCTAGTTGGGACAAACACAGACCCAATTCAGGGACCGCAGTCCATTGTAGCCTCAAGTATCGATTGGAACAGTTCGACCGGCGTGGTCTATGCTATGTTGCTAAGGCATGCTGCTGGCAGAAAATGTGGAAGATTTCATCGTGGTCCAGCAGATTGTTCCGATGAGCCCGGTGTTGTCCGAATTCGTCGACACCAATCTTCATAGCTTTGGGAGGCATGGCAGCTTGCTCAGCATGGACTTGCGAGTGCAACATGGCAAGAGCGTGGACGGTGGACCTGAATCGTCCGGTGACGCTTGGCGGATGGAGGAACTGGATCAGAACGGCCGCAAGAGGATTCAGCATGCCAAGTCCAAGTCCAGTGCTGTCAAGATGTCATCCATCCTACCCTCCGAGCAGACCCCGCGACCCGAAACAGAGAACCCTGGCCACTCGCCGCTCGCCGGTCCGCCGGCAGCGACCTCCGGCGAAGGCCGAGCGCGAGCCTCCAGGTTGAGCCTCGAGAGCGAGGAGCGAGTGATTGAGAAGCCCAGCGGCTCGCGGCCGAGCGTCGCGCCGCCGCCGCCTGAGGAAGAGGCGGATGGGAGCCCGGTGCCTTCACTGCAGCCGCTGCCGTTGGGACCCTCTGAACGACTGAGCGTCTCCGTGATGAACATGCACAGGTGTTTGGGGTCTGGGATCCGTGTTTTGCGTGGGAGTTTCTGGAAAGTAGCCTTGTCTCTGGATCGTTCAAAATCCTTCTCAAGCACTCCTCGTTCCAAATTGCTTATTTGACTGCCTCACCATGGGTTGCAGCGCGTTCTCAAGCGGGTCCGGCCGTGCCCGCCGCTCAACCACGGCAACGCCTGCGAATCTGCGAATCCGGGACATTCCCAGAAAAGTAATTGAAAAGCAGCCTTTGGAACTTCCGTGTCTTCAATCAAACGTGGATCTGGCCTTTTGAGCCAACTCTCACTCCCACTTCGCAGGCAAATCAGCCAGCGCTCGGTCCGTGATTCCGGCGACGACACCCAAGTCGTGGTGATCGCTTCGCTGGGCGAGTGCCGCCACAGCAGCCCCTCGCGGATCCGGCGCTGGTTCGGCCAGCAGCGGAGTGTGCACCCGTCGCTGCTGCTGCACGGCTTGCGCGCGCCTTGGGAGAAGTGAATGGAGCCTTTTTGGTGGGGAGGGGAGGAGGCAACGGAGGCGGGGGGCTCTTGAGGTGGACTGGTCGATTTTCCAACCTACCTGGAAAGCCAGTAGCAACCAGAATCCAAAGGTTCTTTCCAAAAAGGAGCCCTTCCAGTCCACCATGTGACCGAAATCGTTGGTAGGTCAACCGGGTCCGGTCTCGTGCCAGCCACAGCCATATGGCATCCTTTACATCACAAGTGGTGGGGACTGGCCACCTGCCGTTCGTCTCTTCATTTGGACTCTTCGTCCAGTTCCCCATTCGTTTCAATTACAGTGGCTTTCAGAGTAGATGGCATAATCCCCAAGTTTGGAGATTTCTAAACATTGGGCGCCTGGGCGCCTGGGCTGACACTTTGGGGTCTGTGCCATCGAAGCTAACCCTTGGGTGTGTAGCTCAAGAGAGGCTTTGGGGAGGCCATCGCCGTAGTTTGGAGGCCATCCATTGCTATAGGAGGTTGGAGGCCGCTCGTAGGTTGGGGGCATCGGTGTAGCTGTCCCACCAGGCGTCCCACCGACGAACCCCAGGCGTCCAGATCGGGTGATCGGGTCGTTGAACAGACCACTGGTCGGCGACTGGTGGTCGCCGACGGGTGAAACGGCGAAAGAAACAGAATCATGGTGCTTTCATGTGGCTGATGACCAAAAAAACCAGGGGAGCCATTAACATCAAGAACATCACCTACCTCTCTGCTTATCACTCGCACAGACCGAGGGAAAATACCTAGGAAAAGGGGTGTCAAACCACCCGAACCCGGTGCTTTTATGTGACCTCGATTCACTTGAGGTGTGGAGTAAGGCCTTCATAATTTCCAATTCCTTTTTTAATCCTTTGATCCTCTTTGTACTGCTTGCAAGAGTTGTTGTACAGCTTTCGTTTGCGCAAACAACGGCAAGCACCTCAGCACCTTCAGGCCATGCCCTTCGCCTGCCAGCTGGCTCCAGTGGCCGCCCTCAGCACCTTGCACGTCGAGGGCGAGAGGTGGCGAAGGACCGGCCCCATGGCCCCCCTGGCGGCCCCTGGCGGCCCCTGGTATAGGCTGGTTTATGGTTGATTCTTGTGAGTTGGTGTTTGGGTGTTGGGCGAAGAGGAAGTGTCACCAGCTCAGACTCAGGTGATTCCCATGGGAGCCCTATAAATCAAAGAAGGAAGGTGCGAATGATGTGGTAGTGACGGTGTTCGTGGTGCTGCTGGTGCTGGTTTGATATCCAAATCTTGTGAACTTGCGAAAAGGACCACCAGTCAGACCTACTCTTTGACACCTAAGGTCTCTGTAAAAACCTATTTCAGGTGGTCTCTACGGTTGACCTCCTCCAAGAAGTGTGTCGAAGGACGAATCGTTGGCATTTTTCTGCTTGTTTGGAGGCCCGCGCATTTTCCAGGGCAAAAGACCGGTTTTTCTGAGACCTGGAAGTCGCCAGATTCGCGAGGACCTTGGTGAAGCAGATCCTTTGGGAAGCATCCACCAAGACCAGATGCGGCACCCTCCAGTGAATGACTAGATACCTTTATGCTAGATAGGGCACGTCCCTTGATGTTCGACAGATGATTGTAGCCCAGAAGTATCAAAACACGAGGTACCTTGAGTCTATACGGGACAGCAAGAGCTGGACTCTAGATGTCAGACCAGATCACACGAAGCAGCTAGGCCTTCTAGAGCGGGCACGCATAGATGTTCAGCAGACACAGACCAGTCCGAAGGCTACGGGAAAGAACTCGTGCTGGGTTCGGATGATCCTTGTCCTCAAACAGGTGCTTTAAAACATAGTGATCTGATGGGTTCTGATGCTTCACATCGGGTATGTGAAGACGAAGTATCTGAAAATTTTCTAGTTGAACAGTGCAGATAGATAGACCAATCAATGGTTCAAGATCAGATGGGTTGCAAAGGAGGACATCCCCACAAACTAGAAAGATGCCTTCCATGTCTTCCTTTCTCATGGAAGGACCGTTCCATTTTCCACCGACCCAGCGTTCTGAGGCGAAGCCACCTTGTGCTTTCTCAACACCGCTGTGGGCCCGGGCTTTCTACGGGGTTTGCGGGGAGTGCCCTGTGAGGATTCTGAGGGCTTCGAGTCACTTTGGTGGCCTTGCCCCATGGTGTGCTAGGGGCCACGGTCGGGTACAACGGATTCTTCTGCCCGCCAAAAGGTCCTTGTTTTCGCCGATGCTTTCGGTGGCCAAAGAGGTATAGGCGCTACCCCACGTCGTATGCGCCAAGGCCAGGCTGGAGGAACTCGCCCGGTTTGTGGATTGGTAGGCAGCTCTCCAATCCAGGTGCTGTTGGTTGCGTCCAAACCGGCCGAGTTAACCACCTGAGATTCTGATGAGCAGTGGCCAGGGCGGAGTCCTGGTTTGACTGTTCAGAAAGACATCACCAAATAATTTAGGAGACTTTCTCCCCTAATAAGGGAAGGAAGGCTGAGGTGTTTACTCGAGTCTTCAGTCCAAATGGACTACCCAAAGTAACTCGACCGCTCAAGGAGCACGCCAAGCAAATGAAACCGAAGCACGCATTTGTGGTGAGTCGCTGCGCTCCAAGTTGGGAATAATGATCTTTGCAGCATGGCCCTCCCCAAACGATGCTAGGGTACGACGAGGATGGGAAAGTCTCTGGGCGTTTCGTTCAGTTCTCACCGTCATAGAAGACCCTTGATATGAAGAAGAAGAAGAAGAAGAAGAAGAAGAAGAAGAAGAAGAAGCGTTTGATGCAGATGAGAACCACGGCTATGGAGAACTTGGAATGACCGCTGTCACCACCGGTGGAGAGGGAGGCTGTCCACCCTGCGCCTGTGTGAGACTCCCCCCGGCCCCAAGTCCAAGGAAAAGAAACACCTCAGTGGGATTTGGTGGGGAACCAGTAGCGTCCTTGCTCCTAGTAGTGATGCCAGGAGCCCCGTTCGTAGCGTCCTTGTTCCTAGTTGGGATTTGGTGGGGAAGCATGCCAAAGAGCCCCATGCTGCCAACCTGCCTCAAAAAAACCGGCGACCTGGATCACCTGAATCACGGTCGTTTCCGAGCGAAGATGAGGCGAAGAACCGAGCTGTCCATGATGGTCTGTGATGTCTTGGGTCGAACCGTCTTGGGTCAAACTGTCTGGGTCGAGCCGTCTTCGAACCGTCTTGGTGCCCCAGACCACACACACTGTTTGGGGGCTTGGGAGCTTGGGGATTCTCCAAGAAGTTTCCAATACACATTCTCAGAGTGGGGATTCTCTTGTTGGGAAATCCATGAAATGGAGAAGAATAAAGGATGTATCGAGACACTGGGTGGCACCTCATCCTGGTCCCTACAGCAACCGGCTCTGGCTTCGACTCCTTTCCACTCCTTCAGTCCACCGGGACGGGAGGAACGGCAGCGGGTGCAGGTCAATGATAGTGGTGAAAAGTGAATCCCCACGAAACATGTATTGGAGACCGTGCCCATGAATTTATAAACTCCAAGAATCATATGTTACTTTTATGCCAAAACGTACCTCCGTGAGTGTTTGATCCGAAGGCCCTTTCAAAGGCTCCAGGGATGACGGCCCGAAGTTCCGTGAACTCCTGTGGCGTGCGCTTGCCGGATGGCAGGAACACCCCGATTCCCATGCTCGCGGAGGAGAGGGGGGATGGTCAGGGTCAGGGTCAGTTGAGATTCATCCTTAGTGAGTTGGATATGTAGCATCCCTGAAAACCATCCTTTGAACCCAAGATGGCATCATATATGATCCAATATATATATATATATATAATATATATATATGGATATAATGAGATCTATACCAGCACCTTCCAACAGGTCTCCTCTGGAGGCTTTTGTAGACTTAGTGGTGGACCTGTTGGCGGGTGCTGGTCTAGTGCTCTCAGTCCGTTCGCCACACCTCGACTCGCCGCGGCTCCTCCTCCTCGCCGCAAGCCTTCGGCCGCGCCCTCGCCGCTCTTCGCCGTGGCCGAGGACGCCTCGGTGCCCAAGAGGTCCAGCCTGCGAGCCCCGGGAGGTCTGCGGGTGCCGCTGGGAGGTAGCGGCCTCGCGAGCGGCCTCGCGACCGGTACGGTGTCGCCGGCGTTTCAGACGCTGCTGAATCGACTGGTGCAGCAGCATTTGATGGAGATCCAATCCTTGGAAGTGAGGATGCGCAGTGGGCAGCATCATCCTGAGGCGAACGATCGGAAAAACGGTTCCTTCTTTTGGGCTGGTGGAGGTACGGTTCCTTCGAAGGGTAAACGTGTGTCAAAGTCGTCTGCTTCGTTATTGAGCCACTTCGTTGAGCCACACGCGGGGAGCCAAGAAATCCCGATTTGGGGGACAATAGAAGTTGCATTGAGATAGAGGTAGTTCCAAGGGTTGAGAGCAGCATCGTGGGTTAAGAGGGTTCGATCTCGCCAACTTCTGGGAGAGAAGATTTCCGTTGTTGGTTCGGGTTGCCCGCTTCGGGCCCTCTAGACTCTAGAAGACATAGTTCTTCTCGGCTCTTTAGAGCTGAACATTCCACGCGATCCAAGGTTAATGTAGGTAGAAAGTACAAATGACCATGTGGACAGGCCAACTTTGAGGAACTCGGTGCTCCAAATGTTCCAGGTGGAGGTAGTTTGGCCACCACCACCGCCACCTGACCTTGGCCCGTCAGGCGCCGACCACGACCACGCTGCTGCAGGAAGACCGGTCCGCAGCCGAGGAGTCCGAGGACACGGCCGAGCGCAGTCTGGCTGGTGGCCTGGCCGGAAACGGAGGGCATCCGGTGCGGATGGAGGATGGAGCAGCAGCTCACAGCTGGCGCCAGCTAACCCTGGCGCCAGCTGTGGCCAGGTTTTTCTTGGGGCCGGGTTGGTGGGGGATTTCCTGCTTCGGCTCGCTTGGTGTCGATCCGACTGCTTGGGGTCCGACTGCTTGGAGGGTGAGATGTGTTCAGTGACGGACCAAGCTGTGTTCAGTCGCTCCACCGCGATCAGTTTCAGAGTTCCACTACGCTGGTTGTGCTGCTGGCATGAGCTTTGTTCATACTGCCTTCAGCATATTCCAATCTCAAGTCCTTGAAGTGCTCAGCCCATTGACTCTTGACCCATCAACGTCCTTGAAGTGAACTTCAACGTTTGAACGGAATGAGGCAGATCAAGATCATGCATCTTGAAAGCAGTTCTTTGCAAAGGCGAAAGCTCAGTTTGTAGGATTATTTTGGATTTTCGGGGGAACCTTTAATGTTAAAACCTTCTGATCCAGATGTAAATCCCATGCCAAATCAAAAGGGATATATAAATTCGATCAAACCGAACCACCAAAGTTCAGTCTCTCTCTCTCTCTCTCTCTATCAGGCAAGAACTTGTAATTTTTTTGCGTACGTTACTTGTTTAGTCTGGGCGGTCTAGGCCTACATATGTATGTTTCTTTCCGAGATTTGCTTGCCGGAAGTGTCTTATGGAAACATGCTCTTCCGTTCTCCCCACCGAAGAAGCGGGTCGCGGCGCTCTGCGCGTCGACCATGAGGTCATCCACGAGCCTCGAAGCACAAGGTGGACGCGAATGAGATCTTGGAGGCTTTCGAGAAGGAGCAAGCGAAGGGGCGATGCTTCAGGGCCAAAAGGGCGAGCGAAGGGGGGGAGTTCTCCATGCTCTGCCCCAAAAACTTACACGCGAAGGGGCGGTGGGGAACGAAGGGTGAATGTTCACCTCGGTCCGCATTAATGCAAACTTTCTGGCCGGTTTTGGAAAGGAGAGGGTATGTTTTTATATGTTTTTCATATTCTGTTCCATATCTTCAGCAGTTCCTTTTCTATATATAGGTCAATTACTCCATTTCTTGGTTCTGTTGTGGTTGTACACCATTCAATGACCGAAGTGGTGGAAACGGAAGGCTGAAACCAACAGAGCTCGATGACTGAAACTATGAGGAAAGATCAAGCTCGATCCAACCTGAGAGTTTCAAGTCCCTGTGAAGAACATAAGTGTGGCGCTCCCTACGTGCTCAGCACGTCACGCGTATGCCATCATACTTCTCGAAGCACAGAAAAACACGTCATCTATGTCACGCGTATCTAATTCTCATGCTATCCCACCTTTTCCCCCTTTACCACTGTTGCCCTTGTAGCTGATGATTGCAAGCGCTTGTTTCTTGGGGTACCTCAATCTTCTCGTCACTCCTTAGTAACCACCCTTTCATATCCCACAGAGGACGAGTCGCCTCTTTTCATTTCTGGAGCGGCTTCTCTGAACACTGAGAGGACCAGGATGCCAAGCTCCTCTTTCAAAACGCGGACAAGATGGCGGATGGTGAGATGGACGCGGAGATGATGAAGGAATTTTGGGCTCGTTGGAGGACGATGAGCTGTTTCGATAAGACCAAAATCTGGCTCCAATCCTCGCGCTATGAGATGTTGTGCCGAGGATGGTCACAAGGATTGCTTTGATTTTGAGTCTCAAGCAACCAATTCTCCAGTTCTCAACTAACCAGTTCTCAACTAACCAATTCTCAATCAACCAATTTTCAACCAACCGACCGACCACACTGATTCTCCTGAACGTTTCAAATCTATTTTCCCGCGACTTGGTTCCTGAACCCACCCAAGACACCCAAGCTCTTCCCGCGATGGAAGCCTGACCAATGCCCCAATCACGTGGGGGGCACGCTATGTGGGGGCACTCCCTGTGTTCTTCACCGTGTTGAACGCGGCTGGTTCCAACGGCCCGCCACGTGCCGCCGGGCCACGGCGGCGGCTCGCGGCGTTGGCCGAGGATCGCGCTGATTTTGATTTTGAACGTCCTGTGGATGGCCTTTGAGCTCCAGTTCTATGGCTCCATCAGCGGCTACGAGATCAAGTTCTTTTCTGAGCGGCCCGTGACCGATGAGGTCTGGCGGCGCGGGCGAGACTGGTCTCCAGGTCTCCAGGTCTCCGGTCTCAGTGGCGGTACGAGATCCCCATTGGCTGGAGGATTTTCTGCAAGCAACCCAGACAGGATGGTGGCTCAATTCCCCCCTGGGCCTTTGGGTGCATCTTGGTCCAGGTACCTTTTTGAAGGTCCTTTGAGACGGTGCACAACTACGATTCTTGAGCTCGGGCACCGGATTGGGCGGTGGAGCGGTCCGGAGATTCAAGAGATGGTGCTAGGAAGCCCGACGAATGTGAGACAGGGTGAAGAAGAAGGAGGAGAAGAAGATCCGAATCCGACGGTATGATGATGATGATGATGATGATGATGATGATGATGATGATGATGATGATGATGATGATGAATGGAACAAGACCCAGGGCCCAAAGATGTAAGAACCATTCTGGATCTGGGGATGGGGGGTTCATGGGCTATGAATCAATTGTAAAGTCCAATTGCACCACCAAAGGGAGGTCTTTTGGGGTGTGGATGTTGCTCCGAACTCCTGCCTGACTCTGATGTTTGTCGGACTCCGATTCTCAACCAAGAAGAACGAACTTCAGCTGTATTGAGCTGAAACCTTTCACGTGTTCATACGATTAACGATCTTGCCCGCATCGAAGTTATATTCTGAGTCACGACTTCCTTTTGCCATCCATGCCCATGGCGCTCAAAAACCCATCAACCCCCTACTGTCGAATTCCTGGCCAACACTCTGAATCCCTCACAACCCGCCGTTGTTTCATTGCTTACTCGACTCCGGTTTCTATACACGACCACACCAGCCACCGTTCGCACCCCGCTGACCACCCGGTCGTGGCTTCGGTGCAGTTCGCTTCCCCGGTCGCAGCGTTTGGCGGTGCCGGGACGGCCCGGGACGGCAGGCGCTGCCCTTTTGGCAGTCGGTGATCGAGATCGGGGACTTGTTCTTCACGGGGTTCTTCGTGGTGGACGTGATGGTGAGGATTTGCATCTTAAAGCTGGACTTCTGGCGTGTAGCATGGTTAGCCAAGTTAGCGATATTTGGGTGAGATGTGGGTTTCGGTTGCTGTGATGGAACTGCGAATTTTTTTCTTGTTTTTTTTTTTTTGGTGTTTTGAGGGTTGCTAGGATCGATGTGCGTTTTTTTTTTATGCGGGGGGGGGGGGGGCAGATGGACGTCTCGATCATGTCAGGGTCTTGGCTTGACTTGGGGCTTGAGCTTGGATTCTGTGGAAAGAACAGCAGCAACAAACAGTTTCGACGGAGTCCACAATCCATGGCCAACCTCGTTCAACAACGCACTTCCCCCTCCTCCCCTTGCCCCAAAATAGAAGCTGACCGATCAAAGCAGCAATAGCAGGACCTCCACGTTGTGGAAGACAACGGCATTTGCCCTTCCCAGGTGGTCCCGCCCAGGTAGTGTGCAGTCACAGACTCCTTTTCAGGGTCCCCAGAGAACCCACATGTGGGAGGTCTCCACTCTCCCATTTCTGGTACAGACTCACTAACGTGGAAGTGGATAGCGTGGCCCCTTGGATGACATTGTTCCGAATACCAAACAGGTTGTTTTACATTTCCATGATTATTTCAGGGGGAGTGCCGCTGGCACTTCACTTCGTTCACCTAGATCTCACAAAGCAGTGAAAGCGGTGCTGAAACTTCCATGATGGATTGGTCATTGCCAGTGACAGCAGGGCGCAACCGTTGCTTCCCTTGATTCACCTCTTCCCTGGCTTTCACTTCTTGCGCCTTCTTCACGTCACTGGCCCTGACCCGCCGAGTCTTCACTGACTCGCCGAGTCTTCCGGACCCCGCCGGGTGTCCGATCGGCACCGGGACGCTCCGCGGAGGCGGCTCCGCGGAGTCGGCGCACAAGTCCGGGCGGGGGACCCAAGGTCTGTGCGAACTACGTGGACGTGGCCGTAAGCGTGACGGGTCTGATCGAGGTGCGCGCTGCGTTGGGTGTGGGGTGTGAGAAACGTCGACATGGCATCCTGGCTGAGCCAAGCCAAAAACCGGAGTTTTCGGATTGGTGGCGGGAAGTGGCTGGGGGCTTCCCCGAAGTCTGTCTATTCGATGACGATGTTTCAATGTCTGGCTGAGTCGAGGAGTCGAGGAAGAAGTCGAGGAGTCGAGGAAGAAGTCGAGGAGTCGAGGAGTCATAAGAGACAAGGCCAAAGACATAGCGACGTCTGAAGATACGATTTCTGAGCACATCGATTCGTGCTAGAAAGAACACCCTTAGCCTTCCCCAACCTCAACGTGGGATTCCCGGTGCACCATTTGGCCTCAGATAGCTGAAAGCTATAGGGGTTCTTACTCTCGAGGGTGTCGCTGATTGGCGTTTTGGTCCACCGAGTCCACCGATCCGCTACATATTCCTTGTCTTTCCCACTGAACGAACGTGAACGATCCGATGATGTTTCTGGCTGCCAACTTTCATTTGTTTGGGTTCAAAGGAAAAGATGTGCTTCCGTTGTCATTGTGTGGTTTGGTCCTTGACCAAGCAAAAAACGAGTTCTAAACTACCTGGACTTTAGACTAGAAAACCAGGATCGACCGAGCTTTCTACTGTTTTCTGGTCATTGAAGCCTCCTGGGTAAAGGTCCAGCAGCTTTCCATCGAGCCATGCGGACCGCGCTCCACGTGGCCCGATCGCCCCGTGGACCAATGGACCGGTACGAGACCCATCCTGGAGCATGCTGGACCGAGCGGGGATGCCCAATGACCGACATCTCTACGACGGTGGATGGTTTCTTCAACCGTGGAAGAACCCCGCACCGTGCCGACCGGGGCCGGCACGCTTCGGGGGGAAAGCGGTCTATAGTGGGCGAGTGGGGAAGCGCGGCAGGTGACGATCTTGTACGCCGTGGACTTCCCCGTGAACCCGGTGCTCTTCCGGCTGCTGCGCATCGGCAAGCTGGCGCGGGCCATTCGCATGGCGGCTCCGGTGCCATTTAGGGGTGTGGGGTCCGGTGGTCCAGCCCTTGAGAGTCTGGTAGTGGTCGGTGGGGGGAGGTGAGTTCTGTTGAGAGGTCACCCAAAGGACCAGTCTTTCCCTAGGACCATCTAGTGGACCATCGTCCAAGTGGCGCTGGAAGGGATTGGATCTGGAATACCCACTGGACACGAAGGCTCCACGAAGGCTCCATAACCTGCCGGTCGCGCCGGTCGCCGCGGGCGGAACTGGGGACCCGTTCCGGACGGCTTCTTGGTTCGCCCACGAATGGACAGAGGTTGGGAAGCACCTCGGCCGTGCGCGGTGGAAGGAGGTGAAGACTTGTTTTGGGACTTTTCATGACCTTCCCCAGTCAGAGGCGACCTGATGAACCCGCGGGCAGAGGCCATGGGCCCCGTGTGGGGTTTCTCTTCTCCCAATCCACCCCGTGAACTGGGGCGACTTGGAAGCAGCGATGAGGTGGTTTTGTAGGGATCGATTCAAGATGATCCAGTCCTACTGTACCTCAGAATGTACGGCCGGACCCCTCCTGTTCTTCTACATTGGCTGTGGGGAGCTGGCACCAGGCCTTCACCGAGCACGACCTACCTGGTCCTCCACGCATCCGTTCGCGCCGGTCGTTCGTCCGTCCTGGTGTTTCATGGCAGCTCCACCGAACTCAACTCGTTCACTTTCCGAGTGGTTTCGAATGGACCCCTAGACTTCCAAGACCATTAAAACAATGGTTGACCTGGTTTTTGTAGTGTAAAATCCTTAGTTGATTCGGTAAGGCCTATTAAAACAATGGTTGTTGGAAGCCTAGGGGACTCTTGGTGGTTTAGACTCCACACATCTTCCCCCATACTTTTGTTAGGAGGGGGGTGGATCCCCTGGATCCGATCACAGGATCACGCGGAGGGGCGTGGGGTGGGCGAGAAGCTGGACGTTGCGCCGCATCGCGACCGTGCCCGGGGCTCCTGAGGCCTTACTAGGAACAAGAAGCTACGAACGGAGCCCCGAACAAGAGGTCAGTGAAGGAACCCTAGGGGCTCCAAACCAGCTCCTGAGAGGGTTGGGCTAGGTTTTTCGGGTCTAACTTCCTTCGGATGTGGGACAGGAGGTTTAGGGGAAGGAAGTGCACCTGAAAAAAGACATTGTGTGTGAACAGTTGTCTTTCATTTTGAGGTTCTAACCAATTACACTTTCCGGGTGCATCTCTTTTCTTTGCAGCGACCTGTTGCTTTGTTTTGATGCCATCTTCACTGGGGCCATTGGGGTCGAGACTAGTATTGACTCGCGTTCAACCCCCTCCATCCACTTCAAACCTTCCCAGTCCATCTACTGTGTTTCGGTGTGCTCACCGGCGCTTTGATTCGCTTCATCCGGGAGAATTCCGCCTCCGCACTCCGTTTGAATGTGCCTTTGAGAGTAGATGGCACTGGCGTCTACCAGCTTGGCGTCGGTTTGACCGAACCGACAGGCCCCAAGTCCTCGTGACCGAAGCAACTGTGGGAGGTCTTCCGTTCGGTCACGAAGGGAAGAGAAGAATCCGAAGCACCGGTTGCGGGTCCATTCCGAACCACCCCCCCACCCCACTTGCACCGTCCTCGAAGCCCGAGTGGCTCCCTCGACCTGAGTTCGGGACCCCATGGAAGTAGACCATGGCTACTGAAGTAGACGACCTGGGAGCACCAGGGTACCGGTTTTGGACCCAGCCTGCCGTGTCTTGATGTCTTGACCGGGAGACTTTCTTGGGCGGGTTGAATGAGGTCTTTGATTTGGTTCTCTCGCACCAAAAGGGGTCTCTCTGGGTGGGAGCTTTTTTCGGAAGTCCAGCCTAGTCCAACCCCGTTGCCATTTGCCACCACCGCGTTGGGTCGCTCACCGCCTACTGCTTCCTTCGCTCACCGCCCCTGCTCACCACGTGACCACCACATGCCTCATCCATCCAGATCCAAGGTCACCATGACGTCCGTCTTGGGCTCGCTACAGCTCTTGGTCAAATGTCTTGGAGCGAGCGCCCCGGTCCGCTTTAAAGCGGCGCCCACGCGCCGGACTCGCCGCTGAAGCGGCGGGTCGCAGGGCGGGTCGCAGGGCGGACGGGATCGGGAAGGCCTTCGAGGGACGAAGCGCGCTGAGCTGAAGGAAAGCAGTGTGAGGAGTTGAGGGCGACAGTGACGTGTGTGTGTTGAAGGCCTGTGGGAGGCCACCCAGTGTATTGTTTCTTTATTTTTCTTTCAATATCAGGAGTATAAAGGTCTGGGTTGCGTATGTCTCGAAAAAGAGGGATCCGCGAGATCTCGCCCGATGTTTCCGAAGCTTCCTATCCAGGTTCCAAAAAATACACATGTAAAAAATCTGGAAGAAAGGCACTGCAGCCATTAAGGACACAACCTGCAGGGTCCATGGAAGGCCTGGTCAGCTGAAGCCCAGCCAGCGCGGTGTGGGACTCCCAGAAATGCAGAAACATGTTCCAACACATCCGTTCCCAATCCATGTGCTACCTGCCTGGACCTGTAAAGACATCTTCCAGGACCTTCCTTCTGAGGTGTCTTGGTCATAGCCTCTTAGTGAGGTGAGTCGAGGTGTCCCAAAACCACCGGATCTTGGTTTCGCTCCTGCTTGTGACCTGCCTAATGAGGCGTATAGGCAAATCTTCCCGTCCCATGACCAACCTGTTCCCGTCCCATGGGTGGGGGAAGAACCGCCCTAAATGCCCCATGTTCGAAGGACCAGGGTCACCCGGTCCCCCAGGTCCACCCGGTCCCCGAGGACCCGAAAAAGCGCTGCGAGACGCGTCGACGTACCGAAGGTCGCCCCCATCCGGGCCGGGTTGGGCGATTCATGGACGGCTGCTCGTTTGTTCGCTGCTCGTCGTCTGCGTCCGGGCGAATGCTTCTTTTCTTTAAAACATCTCTCTCTCTCTCTCTTTGTTTCTTTTCCTTGGAAAACACACCCCCCGCCCCGGGTGGTCCGAACCGTGCCCCCTGGATCCTTCTCCGTGTTCTTCGCTTGCTCCGTCGTAACCGTGACCGTTCCTCCACACCTCGGACCGTGTGTCTCCGCGTGAGGTTGCAACATGTTGTTCTGGAGCTTTTGCCTCTTGACCTTCGTGCAGTGCGTGGCGGGGCTCATCGTGAGTACCCTCTGTCGCGACTTCGTCTTGGACCTGAACCGAGAGTTGGCCCTTCGGGACCGGGGAAGAGACCGGGGCGTGATACAGACCGGGTGGGGTACAGCCCGCCGGGGGGGCGAGCGAGAAAGACCGAAGAAGAGAAGTGGGGTCTGAGGACTGCGGGAGTTTTTTGTGGCGAAGGTCGTGGCGTTCATGATCCTTGTGCCTTCCAACCAAAAGTGATATAGAACTTTGATGCAGGTATGTAACCCCCTGTCCCAACCCACTGCATTCCGCTGTAGAACCACAGCCAACTCTGCGGCCGGTGTTTTGGTTGAAGCGCCGACTCCAGGGAGGATGCTCGAGCGGCAGCTTTTTCACGGAAGAGATTTTGCCTCACTTGATTTTGCTTCTCCCTCACTCGATTTGGATGTGAAAATGAACTAAAATGAACAGAATAGACCACTATAGACATGGTCAAACTACCAATTTTGAAACAACTCCGGCGACCCGCCCTGTCGTAACCCGCCCTGAGAGCGTCTCCTTTCGGCTGAAGACGCCCCTGTTCGCATCGGCCATCCCTCCGAACCAAACCCGCCGCCGGTGAGTCGCGCGCGGTTCGAAGCGTGGGGACTCGAAGCGGACTGGACGCAGGAGGAGGTCTTCCGATACTATGGCACCTTCACGCGGACCTTCCTGACCATGTCTCCTTGGCTAAAAGTTTTTTGATGTTTTTTAAGGCCCAAATGGAAGACGAACGGAAGAGCATGTTTGTTGGAGGGTGTGGAGACAGAAGAATGGACATGGGGACATCTCAGCAGATTTGTCGTTCTGTTTTTTGTGGGCTAGAAGACCCACTCATCCTGCGGTTCCCTGAGTTTGATACAGGGCCTGAGCACACGATCTTGCGCCACTTGCGAACACCCACGCAACAGCTCACACACTGGTATGGACAAAAGGACCCCCTCAAGGACCACAAGTTCTGGGACACTTTATTCTCCTGTACAGCAGCAGTAGCAGCAGCAACACAAACCATATTGACGCTATGCCTCGCGCTTGTCAGCCATTCCAGACACAGGAAAGGGTCGGAGGGCCGTTTTGTTAAGCTTCGGAGGCTCGAGCAAAAGTTGACCACGGTCACTTCAGACATTCACAATCGAAGAGGTCAGGATCGAACCACATGGCTGGTGATCACAGGTTTCCTTCTGGCAACTCCTTTCACATTTTTGCCGCGAGTGAGCTGATTTGAAAACCACTCCCTTGCAGAAGCTTTGTTGTTGTTGTGGTTGTTGGTTGTTGGGTATGATTGTGGTGGTTGTTGTGGTTGTGGTTGTGGTTGTTGTGGTCGTTGTTGTTGTTGTGGTTGTTGTTGTTGTTGTGGTTGGTGTGGTTGTGGTTGTGGTTGTTGTTGTTGCTGCTGTGGCTGTTGTTGTTGTTGTTCTTCTTCTTCTTCTTCTTGTTCTTCTTTTTCTTCTTCTTCTTCTTGAGTGCAAGCTCTATGGCGGCTACTTGAATCGAAGGTACTGTGCGGCCTGGTTGATGCCAGATCGAGCAGCTCCAGTGGGAAGTGGCCGATCTGAAGGCACAGCTCTCGGAGAGCCTGGCCGCAGAGAAGCAGCTTCGCTCGGAGGCGGCTCAGCTTTGCCTTTTGACTCGCTTGATTTTTCTGATCGCAGGTGGCAAAGTTCCGCCTCCAGGCAAAGTTGCGAGGGGCCTGGGAGGACACGACAACATGACACGTCGCAAGGTCTCAGACTTCTCCCATGCGGCTAAGCCCAGCTCAAAAAAGCAGGGTGATGGCTCCCAGTGGTGTCGGTCGTCCGCAAGTGTTCTCATGTTGTCGGTAAGTTGTGGTGAAGCTCGTTTTGACTTGGATACTCCTGGTTGGATGCTCGTACTCGTACAGTTAAATTTCCACACCTTGCTGCCGTTGACCACGCTCCCAGTTATTGTGATAGATTCCTCCTACCTAGGTTTGATACCATGGAGGCCGTGTCGATGATGACAGAGGAGCCCTATGTTGCATCGCGAGGGTTCCACTGACCAAGTCAAGCCAGGAACTCAAAGCTGAGTCACCCCTCTCCCACTTCTCTCCCCATATGATTAGAAGAACACTCGCTTGCCAGGAAGATATGAAGCACCTCGACATGCTGCCAGGCCACATTGTTCCTCTCTGAAAGCGGCTACATGAACTTTCTGCAGGCCAGTATGCTGTCCCGTCACCGCTCTCCAATTCCTTTTCTGCGTTACATCCCTTGTGGTCTGCCTCTGCACAGAGCCTCCCGTTTTGGTCCCTACCAACTGTATGAGCTGCATCGATTTGTGGGAGGCGATGTCCCAGACACCAAAACCACCAGGCTCACATCTCTTTCTTTGCAGCTTTTCACCCATCAAGAACAAACGTTGTAGCCACAAGAATTTTTGCGCCAACGCTTGTGCACTACCTTGGCCAGTGAGGCGACATCTTCGCAAACGATGCGTCGCGAGTATCGATGCTCGGCAAGTTTGCAACACGATGGTGGAAGACTTCATTACTTTGAGACAGTTTACAATCTATTTTCTTCACGTTCCGTTGTCGTGACACAGTGCCACATTACTAGAGGTTAGTGGAAAACCACTCTTACGTCTAGACAGCTGGCTTCTTTAACCTTTACTGGATGTTGCTGCTACACTGGTGGCCATCCTCCAGTCAGACGAGTCTTCAGCGGAGTAGAATTGCTTAGACAGCCCGGCAGTGCTTGTACTAAGCCGTTTCATTAATTTCAACACACAGGCTTATAAGATAAGCCGAATGTCGCCAAGGACACAAATCCTGGACTTTAACGTTTCTTTTTTGGAATACGCGCGCCTGGCGCGTAGAGATGTGAAGGGCTGACACAACCCTTCCAACAACACTCCAGAAGCGCAGACCTGCGCGCCAGGCGCGCGTTGAACCACGAGAGCTAAAAAGTGGGCTCCAAAAGCATGTTGTGTGGCCGAGTCGGTGACGCCAGCTTTGGGTGGAGAGGGTGGGGCTCCTGGCTTGTGAGCTTCAGCTCAACCGGTATGTGCTGCTGCTGCTGCTGGTTGTTGTTGTTGTGGTGGTGGTGGTGGTGGTTGTTGTGGTCGTTGTCGTTGTGGTTGTGGTTGTTGTCGTCGTTGTTGGTTGCTGTTAGTTGCTGTTGTTTGTTGCTGTTTGTTGTTGTTTGCTGTTGTTTGCTTTTGTTTGTTGTTGTTGTTGTTGTTGTTGTTGGTTCTTGGTTGTTGGTTGTTGGTTGTTGTGGTTGTTGGTTGTTGGTTGTTGGTTGTTGGTTGTTGGTTGTTGGTTGTTGGTTGTTGGTTGTTGG